CCAGCGTCATCATCCCCGAGAAGCTCGACGGCTTCATCAACAAGTACGCCGAGTACACACACGAGAAGTGGGCCTTTGACAAGGTGGGGACCCCCCGGGACCCCCCGACCCCCTGTGGCACCCCCAGGGCCCCCCCGGGGTCCTCCCAGCCCCTCTGAGCCCCCCCAACTCCGTGTCTCCCCCTCTCCCCCCAGATCCAGAACAACTGGACTTTTGGGGAGACGGTGGATGAAGAGGCCAAAACCCACCCGATGCTGAGGCCCTACAAGACCTTCTCTGAAAAGGTACCTGGGGACCCCCTGGGGCACCCCCAGATCCAGGGGGCACCCCCAGACCCACCAGGACACCCCCAAACTCATCCAGACCCCCAAACCATCCGTCCCCCTCCGGTGCATCATCACTGACCATCTTTGTCCTTCAGACCCCCCAAAACCCTCCAACTCCCCCAGACCATCCCTCCTGCTCCTCATGAACCTCCCCCGAGCCCCCCTGATTTTGGGGGACCCCCCCGACCCTCCCCAGGACAAGAAAATCCACCAATGGCCGTCGTCATCCTCACCCACCCCCCAACGTCCCAGAGACCCCCGACCCCCTCCTGACCCCCCTGGGACCCCCAACCCCGACCCTGCTCCTCCCCACGGACCCCCACGAGCCCCCCCGATTTTGGGGGACCCCCCTGACCCCTGTGACCTCCCCAGGACAAGGAGATCTACCGGTGGCCCATCAAGGAGTCCCTGAAGGCCATGCTGGCCTGGGAGTGGACGGTGGAGAAGGCCCGGGAGGGGGAGGACGAGCGGGCAGAGAAGAAGAAAACCCGGAAAATCTCCCAGAGCGCCCAGGTGGGACCCCCAAAATCACCTGGGGGGCGTGGGGGGAGCCCCAAAATCACCTGGGGGGGCGTGGGGCACCCCAAAATCACCTGAAGAGGGTGAGGGAACCCCAAAAACACCTGGGGGGTGGGGGGGGGAGCCCCAAAATCACCTGGGGGGGTGTGGGGGAACCCCAAAAACACCTGGGGGGTGGGGGCACCCCAAAATCACCCCCGGGCGTGGGGGGGCCATGGGGTGGGGAAAGGACCCCCCGAATGCCTGGGGGTCCACGGGGGGCTCATGGGGCACCCCAAATCTCCCCTGTGGGTCCATGGGGGTCGCTGGGGTGGGAAAGGGCCCCCCCAAAATCCTGGGGTCCCCCCTGACCCCACGTTTCCCCCCCCAGGCCACGTACGACCCCTCGCACGGGTACAGCCCCCAGCCCATGGACCTGACGGGGGTGACGCTGTCCCGGGAGCTCCAGGTGAGGACCCCCAACATCACCCCACACCCCCCGATGTCCCCCGGGATCCCCAATGTCCCCCTGTGTCCCCTGGGACCCCCCCAATGTCCCCCTGTGTCCCCTGGGACCCCCCGGGGCCCCCCTGTGTCCCCCTGGGGGTGACACTGTCCCGGGAGCTCCAGGTGAGGACCCCCCAACATCACCCCCGACCCCCCAATGTCCCCCTGTGTCCCCTGGGACCCCCAATGTCCCCACTGTTCCCTCATGTCCCCCTGTATCCCCCAGGAACCCCAGTGTCCCCTGGGACCCCCCAATGTCCCCCTGTGTCCTCTGGGACCCCCCAATGTCCCCTGTGTCCCTCTGTGTCCCCCCATATCCCCTGTGTCCCCTCATGTCCCCTTGTACCCCCAGTGTCCCCTGGGACCCCCCAATGTCTCCTGTGTCCTCTGGGACCCCCAATGTCCCCACTGTCCCCTCATGTCCCCTTGTACCCCCAGTGTCCCCTGGGACCCCCCAGTGTCCCCCGTGTCCCCCCCAGACCCCTCCATTCCCCTGTGTCCTCCCACGACCCCACACGGGGGTCTCCCCCTGTGTCCTCCCGTGTCTCCTGGGGTCTCCCCCGGGGGTCACCCCCCAGAGACACCCCCAGAAGCCCCCCCAGAAGCCCCCCCAGACCCCCACGAGCCCCCCCTGCCCCCCCAGGCCATGGCAGAGCAGTTGGCCGAGAACTATCACAACACGTGGGGCCGCAAGAAGAAGCTGGAGCTGGAGGCCAAGGGTGAGACCCCCCCCAGACCCCAAATCCGGGGGACCCTGGGGACCCCCCAGGGCCCCCCCACCCCCAGGGGAACCAGGGGTGAGACCCCCGAACCCCCAAATCTGGGGGAGATCCCAGGGCCCCCCCAACCCCAGGGGTGAGACCCCTGAATCCCCAAATCTGGGGGAGATCCCGTAACCCTCCCAGGGGGAGCTGGAGGCCAAGGGTGAGACCCCCGGACCCCAAATCTGGGGGAGATCCCATAACCCCCCGGGGCCCCCCCAATCCCAGGGGTGAGACCCCCGAACCCCAAATCTGGGGGAGATCCCATAAACCCCCCAGGGCCCCCCACCCCCAGGGGAACCAGGGGTGAGACCCCCGAACCCCAAATCTGGGGGAGATCCCATAAACCCCCCAGGGCCCCCCCACCCCCAGGGGAACCAGGGGTGAGACCCCCGAACCCCCAAATCCGTGGGAGATCCCATAAACCCCCCAGGGGGAGCTGGAGGCCAAGGGTGAGACCCCCAAACCCCAAATCTGGGGGGGTCCAGGGGGACTCAGGGGATTAATTTGGGGTGCAGGTGGGGGGGGTCCCTGCAAGACACACTGGGGGCCAGGGAGAAGGGGCACCCCTGGGTGCTGGGGGGGCTCAGGGGGGCTCAGGGGTTATTCTGGGGGCTCGGGTGCTGATTTGGGGTGCAGGGGGGGGGTCGCACCCCCTCCTGGTCCCCTACGACACCCTGACGGCCAAGGAGAAGGCCCGGGACCGGGAGAAGGCCCAGGAGCTGCTCAAGTTCCTGCAGCTCCACGGATACGCCGTGACCCGGTGAGGGGGCACCCCAAAAACACCCCCGGGGACCCCAAACACCCTCAGGGACCCCAAAAACACCCCTGGGGACCCCAAAAACACCCCCTGAGGGAGCCCAAACACCCCCTGGGGAACCCAAACACCCCCAGGGAACCCAAACACCCTCAGGGACCCCAAAAACACCCCTGGGGACCCCAAACACCCTCAGGGAACCCAAAAACACCCCTGGGGACCCCAAACACCCTCAGGGAACCCAGACACCTGTAGGGACCCCAAAAACACCCCTGGGGACTCCAAAAACACCCCTGAGGGAACCCAAACACCCCTGAGAGAACCCAAACAACCCAGGGAACCCAAAAACACCCTGGGGAACCCAAAAACACCCCCTGGGGATCCAGACACCCTCAGGGACCCCCAAAACAACCCTGGGGACCCCAAAACACCCCCAGGGAACCAAACACCCCTTGGGGGTGGAACTGGAGTCCCAAAGGAAACCTGGAATATGGGGGGAGTCAGGGATTGGGGGGATGCCCATGGATTGGGTGGGAGGGGGCTCAAGGATGGGGGGGCTCAGTGGTTGGGGGGGACCCCAAGATTCAGGGGGACCCCAAAATCCACTGGGGAGCACCAAAACCCTCAGGGAGGGACCCCAAAACCCTCAGGGAGGGACCCCAAATTCAGGAGGAACCAGGGGCTGGGGGGGGACTCGGGGAGTGAGGGACAACCAAAATCCAGGTTGGGACCCCAAAATCTGGGAAGACCCCAAGATGTGGGGGGGACTCAGGACTTGAGGGGGGGGCACAGGGAGCCTGGGGGGTCCCTCTGCAGGGAGGGGGTTGGGGGAGCAGGGGGGGATTTGTGGGAGCAGCGGGGGGGGCTGTTGAGTTTTGGGGTCCCCCCCTGTTTTTAGGGGCTCCAAGGATGGGGAACTGGACACGTCGTCCATCGAGAACCGCTTCGCCTTCAGGTTCCGGCAGCAGCTGCTGCGCTGAATGGACAGCTCCCAGGAGTTCATCGCCCACCTGGGTGAGACCCCCGAGCCTGGGGGACCCCCAAAGCCCCCGGGGTACCCTCAGACCCCCCAACCCGTGGATCCCCCGATCCCCCCAAACGCCTCTGTGACCCCCCAGCCCTCGGGGGACATCCGGGCCCAGAGTTCATCGCCCACGGTGTGAGACCTCCCGAGCTGGGGACCCCTCAGACCCCCCAAAACCCTTGGGATCCCCCCCGAGCCCCCCAAACCCTCTGTGACCCCCCAGCCCTCGGTGGGACATCGCCCAGGAGTTCATCGCCCACCTGGGTGAGACCCCCGAGCCTGGGGGACCCCTCAGACCCCCCCAAAACCCTTGGGATCCCCCCCGAGCCCCCCAAACCCTCTGTGACCCCCCAGCCCTCGGTGGGACATCGCCCAGGAGTTCATCGCCCACCTGGGTGAGACCCCCGAGCCTGGGGGACCCCTCAGACCCCCCCAAACCCTTGGGATCCCCCCAGACCGTTCAGACCCCCCAAACCCTTGGGATTCCCCCCAAGCCCCCCAAACCCTCTGTGACCCCCCAGCCCTCGGTGGGACATCGCCCAGGAGTTCATCGTCCCCCTGGGTGAGACCCCCGAGCCTGTGGGGACCCCCAAAGCCCCCGGGGGACCCCTCAGACCCCTTCAGCCCCCCCAAAACCCTTGGGATTCCCCCAGACCGTTCAGACCCCCCCAAAACCCTTGGGATCCCCCCCTGACCCCCCGTTGCCCCCCCAGAGGCCGTGGTGAGCAGCGGGAGGGTGGAGAAATCCCCCCACGAGCAGGAGATCAAGTTCTTCGCCAAGGTCAGGGGGACCCCAAAAGGGGGGAGGACCCCAAAAGGGGGGGGAACCCCAAAATGGGGAGAGGATCCCAAAATGGGGGGAAAATCCAAGCTGGGGACAGGTGGGGCAGGGTCATCTCTGGGCAGATTTGAGGGTCCTCTGTGGGGTTTTTGGGGTCCCCGTGGGTGTTTGTGGGGGTTCCCGTGGGATATTTGAGGTCCCTGTGGGGTGTGTGGTGTTTGGGATCCCCTAAAGGCTTTTTGGGGCCTCTGTGAGGTATTTGGGATTCCTGTGGGCTTTTGAGATGTCTGTGGGGTATTTGGTGTGTCTGTGGGTTATTTGGGGTCTCCATGAGATATTTGGGATCTCTGGGTTATTTGGGGTGTCTGTGGGATATTTGGGATCTCTGGGTTATTTGGGGTGTCTGTGGGATATTTGGGGTTTCTCTGGGACATTTGGGCTCCCCATGGGGCATTCGGGGTCCCCTGTGGGATTTTGGGGTTCTCTCCGGGTTATTTGGTTCCTTGTGGGGTTTTGGGGTCCCGCTGACCCCCCCCTGCCCTCCTGATCCCCCCAGATCCTGCTGCCCCTCATCAACCAGTACTTCCACAACCACTGCCTGTACTTCCTGTCCACCCCGGCCCAGGTGCTGGGCAGCGGCGGCCACGCCTCCAACAAGGAGAAGGAGATGATCACCAGGTGAGACCCCCCAGACCCCAAACACCCCGGTTATGAGACCCCCAGACCCCAAACACCCCGGTTATGGGACCCCCAGACCCCAAAACCCCCGGTTATGGGACCCCCCAGACCCCCAGTCCCAAACACGCCTCCAACAAGGAGAAGGAGATGATCACCAGGTGAGACCCCCCAGACCCCAAACACCCTGGTTATGGGACCCCCAGACCCCAAAACCCCTGGTTATGGGACCCCCAGACCCCAAAAACCCTGGTTATGGGACCCCCCAGACCCCAAACACCCTGGTTATGGGACCCCCAGACCCCAAACACCCCGGTTATGGGACCCCCAGACCCCAAAACCCCCGGTTAGGGGACCCCCAGACCCCAGAAACCTTGGTTATGAGACCCCCAGACCCCAAAACCCCTGGTTATGGAACCCCCCAGACCCCAAAAACCCTGGTTATGGGACCCCCCAGACCCCAAGCACCCCGGTTATGGGACCCCCAGACCCCAAAACCCCCAGTTCTGGGGCCCTCAGACTCCCCATTATTGGGCCCCCAGACCCCCAAACCCCCCGTTATGGGGTACGTACCCAGACCCCCAATCCCAGACACCCCCTTGTCGCCCCCCATCTAAGGAGAATCAGGGACCCCCCGTCCCCTCCTGGGGGGCTTTAGGGACCCCCCTGACCCCCCCACTCCGTGTCCCCCCTCAGCCTCTTCTGCAAACTGGCCGCGCTGGTCCGGCACCGCATCTCGCTCTTCGGTAACGGGGGCACTGGGGGGCACTGGGAGGACATTGGGGGGCACTGGGGGGCACTGGGGACACTGGGGGGACACTGGAGGGGCACGGGGATCGCTGGGGACACTGGGGGGCACTGGGAGGACATTTGGTGGCACTGGGAGGACAGTGGGGCAAACTGGAGAGGCACTGGGGGCACTGGGGACAGTGGGGCTGATGGCACTGGGGGCACTGGGGACACTGGGCAGGATGGCACTGGGGGCACTGGGGACACTGGGCAGGATGGCACTGGGGGCACTGGGGACACTGGGGGGGCACTTGGGACACTGGGGGGGTGCTGGGGACACTGGGTGGCACTGGGGACACTGGGAGGACACTGGAGGGGTGTGGGGATGGCTGGGGACACTGGGGGGGCACTGGGGACACTGGGGGGGTGCTGGGTGGGGTTGGACACCACTGGTGTCCCCCCCAATGTCCCCATGTCCCCCCAGGCACGGACGCCCCGGCCGTGGTGAACTGTCTGCTCATCCTGGCCCGCTCCCTGGACGCCAGGTGGGGACACTGCCCGTGTCCCCGTGTCCGTGTGTCCCCGTGTCCGTGTGTCCCCCATGGCCCCAGGGTCCCTGTGTCACTGTCCTGTCACTGTCCCTGTCCCCAATGTCTCAGTGTCCCTGTGTCCCTGTGTCCCTGTGTCACTGTCCCTGTCCCCAGGACGGTGATGAAGTCGGGCCCCGAGATCGTCAAGGCCGGGCTGTGCTCCCTGTGTCCCTGTGTCCCTGTGTCACTGTCCCTGTGTCCCTGTGTCCCTGTGTCACTGTCCCTGTCCCCAGGACGGTGATGAAGTCTGGCCCCGAGATCGTCAAGGCCGGGCTCCGCTCGTTCTTCGAGTCGGCGGCCGAGGACATGGAGAAGTTGGGGGAGCAGCTGCGCCTGGGCCGCGGGACCCCCACGCGGGCGCCCACCAAGGGCGTGGCCCAGGTCACCTACACCTCGGTGGCCCTGCTGCCCGTCCTCACCGCCCTCTTCGAGCACCTGGCACAGCACCAGTTCGGGGACGACGTCATCCGTGAGACACCGGGGACATGGGGGGGACAGGGGGACAGGGGGGACATGGGGACAGGGGGGACATGGGGACATGGGGGGGGACATGGGGACATGGGGACAGGGGGGACATGGGGGGACACAGGGACACCGAGGGGACGGGGAGGGACACGGGGGGACACAAGGGGGACATGGGGGGGCATGGGGACACCGAGGGGACGGAGGGGGACATGGGGGGACATGGGGGGACAGGGGGGGCACAGGGACAGGGGGGACATGGGGGACATGGGAGGACACCAGGACACAAGGGGGACACAGGGACATGGGAACATGGGGGGGACATCGAGGGGACACAGGGACACCAAGGGGACAGGGGGAACATGGGGATGTGAGGACACTGGGGGGGACATGGGGGGACACAGGGACGTGGGGCAAGAGGGGGAACAGGGGGACACAGTGGGGACATGGTGGGGACAGGGGGGTCAGGAGGGACAGGAGGACATGGGGACATGTTGGAGACAGGGTACACTGGGACACACGGGGGACATGGGGACACGGTAGGGTCAGGGGACATTGGGACACGCTGGGGACACCCTGGGGACATGGGGACACAGTAAGGTCAGGGGTCATTGGGACACGCTGGGGACACGGGGACAGGCTGGGGACACGGGTGACACCCCTGTCCCCGCAGTGGACGATGTCCAGGTGTCCTGTTACCGCATCCTGTGCAGCATCTACAGCCTGGGCACCGCCCGCGGGCCTCACGTCGACAGGTGG